TACCTAGAGCCTAGACTCACGGACCAAGAAATTATAGAAGCTATCCGCAGTCACTACCCGCTGAAAATTCAGGAGCTGCTGGTCAGTACTAAATTAAACACAGTCGCCGAGTTTTTGGAAGTGCTAAAGTGACTAGAACTAATGGAAGAAAGAGAAGACGTTTCGGACGTCCCTCCAAGGTCAGGTCAATACCAACCCTCCTTCCAAGCCAACAGAGGTAGAAATTATAGGCAAGAAGGCCCAGGACCAGTCAGACAAGTGAGACAAAATGACCAAAGTTACCGAGGAGGATGGCGAAATTCTAGTGGTAGGGGCAACTTTAGGAGAAATGAATACCCCAGGGACCACAGAAATTTCGAAAATCGCGAGAGAAACCCAGAAAATGAGAGGGAGAACGACGCACGGGGAAGGCCCCCCGATAACGCTGAGGAAAACTAAGTCTGGGGAGCGTCGAAGGCCGCATCGCTTCCATCCTCAATAAAACTTTGAGCTCAGGCCTGGTAAATCAGTCCACCTCTTCCATGGAAATCATTCCAGAAAAAGAAACTTCCGACCCTATAGTGTTATTTATCAACGAAGAAAATTTCAGTAAAAGTCCTCAGATTGCTGTCAAACTTAAGAATAAAAAGGCAGTTGTAGCCATATTGGACTCGGGTAGTGAAGTAAATTTGATTTCTCAAGAAAGTTTTGACTAGTTAAAAGAAGCAGACATTGAAATATTGACACTTCCCGTTCAGGGAATTAACTCAGTAACAGCATTTGGGAAAAGGTCAAAAAGGATCAAGCTGCAAGCTCTACTCGAATTCACTATTGGTGGAGAGTTATTTGAAGCAGTTTTTTTGGTAGCACCACAACTTAACAGTGATGTCATCCTAGGATGCAACTTTATGAAAGAACATGAGATGCAATTAAATTTTGGTTCAGGCATATTAGAATACAGGCGGCAAGGACAAACCAGAAGCCATCAGTTCGAGAACCCAGAAACCGACGCACAAATAGAAGCCCAAGGTGTAACAACCAAATTTGCTTCGGCACCGTGCGTTAAAGGAAGGCACACAGGCGATCAGAACTCCGCCGCATACACAAGAGATATTGTTCAAGCCTCATACCCTCGCCCTGATAAGATACGCGGCCGTACTGCAGTAGGAAGAGATGATGTCACACTGCATTCCGAGGGGCCATTACGGGGCCCGGAGCAGCAAAAGGATGACCAGTTCGATCCCCGAGATCTCAAGAAAGGCGACTTAAGACGCATAATAGAACAAAGCACGACTATTAGTGCACCACAAAAGTCACAATTATTCAAAATACTTATTCAATTCCTACCAAATTTTACCGAGAGACCGGGCAAGTGCCACTTATTCAAATATCATTTTCAAGTCAAGACAGACCAAACCCCAACGGAAGAACTTCCTACGAAAATTTTGAAGGCCTATGCAAGAATGAAAGCTAAAGCAGAAAAAATAAGGAATAAGAAAAGAAAGGGAAATTTCTCGTGGCTGCCCCGAGTAGGAGATCAGGTATTAGTGAAAGCCCAACCAGTATCACACGCCAGTAAAGGGATTATAGGCAAATTTCAGAGGTCATATGAGGGCCCATTCCTTATCACAAAGATAATCAACGAACGCCTGTATGAACTAGGCAGTGTATCAGGAAATGGGAAGGGACTTCTCCACATTAGCCATATGAAACCCTATGTGAGATTAGAGCAGGAAATGTAGTTCCCGTTAAAAGTGATTTGAATGACTAGGCAATGATCAGGAGAAAAACGAAGTTAAAAGTGCATATTGAAGAAGAAGAAGAATTTAAAGAATGTAAAAGTGAATAGTGTCAGTGATGGTGAAATGGAAGCAAGAAGAGAAAAGACTACTAGTTTTAGTAAACACATTTATTCCAACTAAACTGCTGTAAATTTCACAAGGCAGATTTACATGCCAACTTGTAGATATAGTAACCTAAACAACTAATCTGTTTGCATTTAAACAAAGCTAAGTTTTTCAAAGCATGTGTATAGTCACACAATTGTTTGTCACCAATTATATGATATTTCACAAAGTACAAACGGTTACTAGGCTAAAATGGCCATAAAACCAAAGGTAATAAACAAGTAACCAGTTGCCATAATAATTTAACTAAAGAATAATGCAAATTATGGTACGTTTCATTAGACTGGTTAACCAAGCAAGTACCCAGCCAACTAATCTGCGTATGATCAGTATAATGATGTAATTAACTTAGTTAGAGGCTCAAAATTAATTTGTATAAATAATAAGGTAAATATTGTATACCCAAAAATTGGGGTAAGCCCCAAAATATTGTAACTAATGTAAGATGTTAAAAGGGGGGCAAATTTGAATGTTATTGATAACTTAAGGGCAAAAGTGAAAGAAAGCATAAGTGCAAATGCCACACCTAAATTCAAAGAAAATACTAAAATGGTTAACAACCCCGGTGGAAAGTTAAAAAGGTAAATAGAAATACTAGTTGTAAATGGCCTAAAGGTTTGAGTAATGAAAAGGTATACCAATTTAAGACACATAAGGAAACAAATTGTATAGTAGGTATTGCAGCAAGGATCAATCAAGAGTAATAAAATGAAGCAAATTGTAAGTAGCCAGGAACAAATTTGGATAAAACGTTAAAAGAAATCGTATTATTAAAAATAAGTATGATATTAAAATTAAAGTAACTATTAAAATGATAAAATTTTAAGATATAGTTGGAATTAAGGGAAAGAATAATGCAGGGGCAAGCACAAGCAAACAGAAGTTGTGTGAGCGTCGGGAGCGCCAAGCCCCCAGAATGGATCCAATAGAGCCCAACGACGAAAAAATATATAAATAAAGTACCAGCCTAAAGAAAGCTGAAGTAACGTCGGTGAAATAAATACCAGCCGGGAGCTGAGGAAACGTCGGATTAAAGAGAGGTAAGCAACTTACTGCGAGGAAACGTCAAAGTCAAAGGGCTCCAAAGAATAAATAATGAGGGTGTGTAAAGAAATCCAATCCTGGTGGCTCAATAATAAGCAATAGCGAGTTTAGACAACCCTGCAAATAACCACACCTCAATTCCAACCGTTGTAAACAACCGCGATTTCGAGGCCGGTTGAGTTGTGTATTGTTTAACATCCAAAATTGTTCTTGGTACAGGAAAGAAAAGCTCAGAAGAAAGGATTGACCTTGCAAAGCCAAGTACAGAGAATGACAAAGAGAGAAAATCTTACTGATAAGCGCCGATGCCGCCGAGAGCCGCGTAACAAAACACGCTTGCTAGCGGTTTACGTTACGCTCAAGGCTAAACATGTGGGCAGAAGCCGCCACAGATAAATAAAACCCACAGGGTGTTTGAACTAAGAAAGCTAAAAATAGTTATCAGGTTAAGGAAAACCAGCAGCTGAATATAAGCCCTAAACTACGGAAATACTAGTAGTTACTATAGGATTCTGACGATGGTGTATAACACATTGATATATTAGGTTTTTGGACTTTATCCATCGTCCTGGTTTTTAAGATAACANGTTTCCGAAACGTCGTGTTTTTGTTATCTTAAAAACCAGGACGATGGATGAAGTCCAAAAACCTAATATATCAATACTGAAATACTAATATAAACTAAGGTTGTGTTTGAAATTAAACAAAACTAAAATTGAGTAAAAAAAAATTCCATCGAGGCGACTAAATGAAATTTTGTGTGTGTATTTACAACAAAATGGGACTTGTTAAATAACCCAAAAATTTAATTTGGGAGTTTGAAGCCGAACAGAGTTTAGGACTGCCCTGAGGTAACCCATTTAGGACCCCTTTTGCCATAACTTGTGCGCAATAAGCTAAGGGACTTCACCACTTGAGGTCAGTGGGAATCCCAAGAGCTTTGGTTGTCTTTGTCTTTAAGGGCAAGTAAGTCAAGACCTTATTGGTCGAATTCAAAATAATCAGTTCGTTTCAACCAATCAGCAAGCAGTACACAAGTAGTGAAGCTGTGTAATGCAATTTGCGTGGGTTGGCTTCGCCACGCTTTGGCAAAGCTGACGCCACGCAGACACACAAAAGTCAGACCTCGAACGGTCTAGATGTGTTAGGATGTACTCTGAGAATTGAATAAACAAAACATCCGAAAAAGTGGGTTATAGCAGTTTAGCAACCCCCTATGCGTGTAATCAAGTGTAAGAGTGAATAAATAAAAGTAACCATTCGAGTTAGTCTGGCATTTAGTAAATAGGGTCACCCCGAATGTAACCCGTGCAACTCCCTGAGAGGATTCTCGTGCCCTACCAGGAACTCCTACGTTTCCTACCCTGAGATAAAACCAAAGTGGAAAGGGGGGAAACGGGAGTGACTAAAAGAAGAGGAAGCAGCAGCAGCGGTGACTGGAAGGACGCAACTGGACATGACGGGACTGTTGCAGTTTCTCGTAATCTCACAGGCCAGGCAACATATTTAGAAAACATTAATTATTATGACATACTAATTATGTTGATCTTAAGTTCACTTGGTGTGCTTTGTCATTGCCTCTGTGCTATGGTGCTTTGTGAATTGCCCTAACTAGCATCAAAATGTCATGCTGTGAATGTGTTATTGCTGTCTTCTTCTAGGGCACTGAAGGCAGGTGTCAAGGCTCCGCTTCTACTGCTGCCTTCACATCCATCATTCCGACAGAGTGAACTGGTAACCTTGCTTGGAGCACTGGAAGCGCTGTATGTGGTGAGTGATCAGGGCTGAGACATGAATTCAGCTGATAGTTGCAGTGTGTGGAAATTGAACAACTGAATTGTAAAAAAATATGGCCAGGGGAACCAAATGAAGTGATATAGTGGACATACATGCAGGCTGATTCTGTTATGAGTGGATTCTGCAACAGGATTGGACAGTTATTTTTCACTTTGGATATATCGTAGCATCCTGTTGCACGTTTCAATTAGTATCCCTTTTTTTTTTTCTTCCATGTGCAACACTATGTTCTATAAAATTTATTAATAGTCATTCACTCTAAATGGAAGTCCATCACTATATAAGTGAATAACTTTTGATAAATTTTATAGACCATAGTGTTGTAAATGAGACTGCAAAAAAAAATGATTGATACTTATCACATATAATAAGAATAAGGTCTATGTTTTATGCCATATACCGATTTTTATACATGAAGGTATGTTTTGAGTAAATTGATGAAGTTTAATTTGTGTTTTATGTAAAGTAATCATTGCCTGGTACCAGTACAGACCAAATTAATTTGCCCAACAGTTTTTAGAGTATACACCCCCACCTGCATGTGTACCACTGAACACACTTTAGTCTGAGCGACTGGCATCTTCATTAAATAAGCTATAATAAACTTTAAATATATTACATGTTTTTTTTCAGGTGTGGTAAATGATAAATTTTATGGTTACAAACTGAAATAATTTTTTTTTGGCTACAGCTGTACATAATTCCCACAGTCACATTAATGCTGCAAAACTGGACTGAAGGAACAGATACCTGTACTGGATCACTGTTCACTCCACATGAGAGCAAATTCATGGCGTGCACATAATTTTTCTTTCTAGAAGATACACTCGAGTGCCAAAGTCATGGGATAGCAGTATGTAAATTTATTTTTAAGCGACTCCACCGTCCCTTGATTGCTTGGGAATGCCCAGAGCAGTATCAGTTGTGAGGTGTTCTCTCGTGAGTCAGGTTGAACACCAGCCAGTCTACTCATGGCAAGCCGATGTGAATTATCAGAGTTTGAACAGGGCATGATAGTGGGTGCCAGGCGGATGGGACATTCCATTTCCGAAGTTGTGCGGTCATTCAACATTCCTCGATCCACGGTGTCACGTTTGTACCAGAAATACCTTGTGGAAGGCATTTCCACCCACCGTGAACAGTGCAGTGGCCAACAAAGGGTGCTTAATGATCGTGACCAGAAGCATCTAGCTAGAATTGTCCGTGGTAACATACAAGCGGCACTGGCTGAAGTCACATCCACATTCAATGCAGTAGGTACCAGACGCATATGCAGCAGGTCAGTGCAGCGTTCTTTAGCTTCCATGGGATATGGGAACAGAAGACCTACCAGAGTGCCTCTATTAACGCCAGATGCAGCGCCTCACCTGGGCTTGTGACGTCGCTAATTGGACCCTGGAGGATTGGCAACATGTGGCGTGGTCCGATGAGTCATGGTACCAGTTGTTTCGGGTGGATGGTAGTGTTCGGGTGTGGCGCAGACCCCATGAGGCCATGGACCCCAGTTGACAACATGGCACCGTGCAGGCTGGTGGTGGTTCCATACTGGTGTGGGGTGTTTTCACATGGCATGAGTTGGGTCCACTCGTCCACCTAAACACGTCATTGACCAGTGACTGCTACGTTACACTGCTTGGCGACCATTTGCAGCCCTTAATGGATTTCATGTACCCGCACAACGATGGGATATACTAGCAGGACAATGTACCATGTCATCAGGCAAGCTGTCCAGAATTGGTTCAAGGAGCATTCTGGAGAGTTCTGACGCATGGTGTGGCCACCACATTCGCCTGAATCGAGCATTTATGGGACGTGGTGGAGAGGTCCATTCACACCCAAAATCCTGCACCTACAAATACCAGGGAGCTGTGGTCAGCTATCCAGACGGCATGACTCAACATCTCTCCAGAGGTCTTCTGTCCACTTGTGGAATTGATGCCACGTCAAGTTGCTGCACTTCGCCGGGCTAGAGGGCTCCTACACGATACTAGGTACCTATCCCATGACTTTTGGCACTTACATGTATTTAGAGCTGTAATCGGTACAGCCATCAGTTTCCTTTGACCCATAGGTCACTTCAGTCACCAGGCATTATTCCAAACATTGATTTTGCAAGAACAGGAAATTTTCAGGCAAGGGTACTGGATGACAACACATTTTACGCATCAGACAAGGAAGGACGTAAGAGATATATTTAGCAATATGTAGATATACATCACAAATAATAATATTTACTTCCCCTGTTTTGGTGATTTACATAGAGTATTTCTTTTGAGGTTAATTTTATTACACGTATAAGTAAAACCATTAGTTCATCTCTCAAAGAAACCATTTTTTAAATCTCTTGAATAAAATGAGGGGCACACGGTAGTGTAGTTGGTTCAGGCACTATGCTGCAAGCCGGAAGGTTGCAGGTTCAAGTCCTGATGAGGTCATTGGATATTTTCAGTTGACCTAATCCTTCCAGCCGCACTATGGCCCTGGGGTCAACTCAGCCTCAAACAGAAATGAGTACCAGGAATTAATTAAATAATTTTCCTGGGGATTAAAGCGCGGCCAGCGCGTAAGCCTGGCAGCCTTACCGCCATCTTTTGAGCCGATTGTCTAGATAATGTGGGACCCTTAACATCTCTCAGCCCTATGGGCCTTCATGGCCTGTTACAGGAATTTCTTTACTTTACTTGAATAAAATGCATTCAAAAAAGCGCACAAAGAAGATTGAATTGTTGATATTTTTACACCTATTGAGGTTGGTATCATTGTAAGATGATAATAGATTCAGATGAACGAAAGGTTTTGTCAACACTATATAACCTGAGTTAGTTACATCATCATACCTTGATTTAATATAACAACCAATTCCCCCGTGGATTTTGTTTTAGTTAGCTGTGGATTTACTTTGTATACTCACTAAAACATGCAAATGTTAGACTGTATAAAGATATTAATGAAGGTTGTTTTATACACATTTGTTGTTCCAGGCACAGAGAAAGAGTAAAGCATATTGACACTAATTTATTGTCATATTAAAGCCATATTTATTTGTATGGTGGTAGTCATACATGTTCATCCTGCGGTAAAATGAGGCTGGATTTTTAAAAGTAATCAGGAGACAGCTCACTCAGATTTTGCTTTTGAAATAAAAGATGGTTATCCCTGTTCTTAGTGAACCACCACACCATGACGATGTGTGGCATAAAGATATAACACTACCCATTCTTAACCCTGGCATTTGGTAGTGAATGGTCAGCTTCAAACCCTGACCACTCTACCACCAGAGAAAGAGCCCCCCAGTTCCCAGTGGATAGGAAACTAGATGTGACCCAGTGCCATTCTGGATGCTTTAGAGAAGAGGAAAATCTCTTTCCTGCCAGGAATTGATTGTTGATTCCTTGGCCATTACTAACCGACCTTTCATGACTCCCTTGCTTTAGAAATAGATTTATAATTTGGAAGTTTTTTTTTTCTTTTTTTGCAGAATCTCCAAGTACGTGAAGATCTGCCAGATAAGGCTCAGAAGATCAAGGTGCTTGGAGTCTATAGTGCAGATTCCAACAATTTGGCAAGAATTGTTGAATTGGCAACAGCTCTGGAAAGCGGCAGGCGAGTAAACTTTTTTTGTTATGTAAAGGCCTGCCAGCTTAAGACTAATATTCATGTAACATAATGAAACAGATTCTTGCTTATTTATTTGTTTGTAATTTATTTATTGACATTTTCTGAAATGTGTAAATTGTGTAGCATCAGATTGGAGGGTTGGTAGAAAGGATAAGGAAGGGAATTGTGTCCTGTCGGGTACTATTCTTGACGTTTGGTCTGGAAAGACTGAGGAAAACCCATGAAAAGCCTGTCAGGATATTTCATCTCTGACCAAGGAGAGAACTCGTTAACCTTTAACGTCTGAATGACACATATATATATGACGCAAGCAGCGACTGGAGATGGCTGAATGGCACAGATATGTGACGCAGGACGTGTGCACGCTTTGGCAGTGCTGACAGTTTGACCTTGGGTTTGAAACCAAAACAAACCTACATGAGGTCATGTCAGTGGTTTATTCCTTAGCTCTGAACAAAGAACTCTTTTTATCTCGGTCCTGATTTCGAAACTATTTATGTTTATATATGACTGTTTATGACATGGTCCGCCAAATATAGCCCAGCTTTGTTCTGAGAACCAAAGAGGAAAATATTCGTTGGTGCTTGCAGATCAGTGCTTCCAGAGCTTTCAAGGAAGAGTGACGTATTCAAGGATTGGTTTTCAGTGGCGAATTATCAGTTAGGAAGTCAGTGTTGGATTGTGTAATATTTCTTTTTCACTTAAAAAGTTAGTGTCAGACTGTCATATTTCTTTTTATGTTAGTTTGTGTGTCAGAAGAGGTATAAACCCACTGAGCCAGTATTACTTTGTGAGTAAAAGGCATCTTCGTCACTGACTTTCCGTATCAGTGTCGGACTGGCACCTTTTCAACTACTATTACAATTATTATTTTTTATTGCTAGTGGGGTGGGACTAAGTCCCTTGTACTGCTGCCACTTCTGGCCTATTGTACCATACTATTACGGTTACTTTGCATCACTATTTTGTGAGTCTTTGTCAATCAACATACTTTATTAAGATTTTGCTGGAAACCCCCCTCCCCCAAGATGGATCCTCAAAAATGTGCCCGATATTCAAAACTTCTTGATGCAGAAGAACTGGAGGAAATGTTGATGGAAGAGGAATCTGATGAAGAGCTAGAAGATATCAATGAGTTCATTGAACCTCGAGCAAATATGTCGTCGATCAGACAATGAGGTAGAGGAAATGGAAATTAGGTTTTGTGATAGAAGACCCAGGGATTCGCCAAAGGTACTAGACTTCACTGGTCCTCCGAGTGGAATCAACAGATCAGCTGCTCCCAATATAAATGCACATTCCTCTCATTCTTCCATTTTCATTCTGTTTCTCCAGCAAATATTCCAAATCTTGTTACAAGAAACAGATATTTCCACCGATTTATGGCATGCCAAGATGCTCCAGGCCTTTCTGTTCAACTGCCTGACGTTACAATTGAAGAGATATATAACTTTTTGGCAATAATTATTCAGATGGGCAACGATTAATGGGACACCTTCAAAGATTATTGGCCAAGAGATGAGCAATACTACACTCCATTCTACCGTAACACCATGGTACGAGACCGTTTCTTCCATATTTTGAGATTCCTACATTTTGAAAATAATGAAGCTCCTCCCAATCAAGATGACCCAGAGTATGATAGGCTCTGGAAAATTAGAGAAATTTTTGACAATCGCAACAACAAATTTTGTGAACTTTACGATCAAGCAGAAGTCTTGCTGTTGATGAGGTTATAGTGTTGTTCAAAGGAAGAGTGATTTTTCCTCAGTATATTTCAAAGAAACTCATAAGGTTTGGTATAAAAATTTACAAGCTTTGCAATTTTTTTGGGTATACTTATGACATGACAGTTCATTTGGGCAAACAAAGGCAACTTAACGACAGAAGAAATTACATCATCACAAGGCATTGTTCTCCAGCTAATTTGAAGAGTAGAAGGCTTGGGACACAAAATTTACATGGACAGTTATTTCAGTTCTCCTGCTTTATTTGACGATCTTTTAGACAGGAAAATAAATTCATGTGGTACCATTCGCAATGATAGATGTGGAATGCCGCAAGAAATTCGGCTCAAGTCAATGAAATTGAAAAAAAAGGAATATTGTTACAAGAGTCGAGGGAGACGAGCATGATGTGTATGTTCTGACGAATTTGCACCCTTCTCCATTGGAAGGCAACTTCGAGATGAATCTGGCCATGCTGTCAAACCCCATGTAATTGAAGACTACAGTGCACACATGGGGTCTGTTGATAAATCTGACAGGATGGTAAACAGTTATGACATTGCTAGGAGGACATGGAAGTGGACAAAGAAATGGTTTTTCCACCTCTAGATATGGCTATTGTAAATGCATATCTATTACACAAGTCATGTGGTGGAAAAATGACACACAAAAAGTTCCGCGAAATATTGGTGAGGGATTTGATTCTTCAGTCACATGAGGTGAATATCACAGTCAGTGGCATTTCTCGGGGGAGGCCAAGTTCATCTGGGGCCTAACTGAGCCGACTGGAGGTGAAACATTCACAACACTGGCCAACCAAAGGAAAACAAAGACTTCATATTTGTTCTCAGAATAAGAAGCGCAGAAACACGCTCTACTACTGTAAAAAGTGTGACGCGCTATGTGTGGTGGACTGCTTCGAGAAGTGACACGCACGTCAGAGTGTGAGTTATTGTAAACTGTGAAGTGACACAGTTCAAACTCGCATACAGTCTGAATAAAATATTATTGTATATAGTGTGATTATATTTACAATATCACCATGATTCAAGGTTGAAGAAAAAACAATGGGTAAGTCCTTTGGAATTTAATAACATATATAATAAAGATTAAATTTTGCATTTCATGACAAAATATTCACACTTAATTTTCATTTGGGAAACCTTCTGTTTTGTGTATATGTAGAAAATTTTATTGTCTTTCAGATTCTTTTTAGTTCATATTTCTGTGTTGCATAGAACATAAAATATGTATTTTTTCTGAAAGTTTGCAATGATAATTAATTATGGTGATTTAAATTCTGGCCGTACAGGGCTGCTGGCTATTTAAAAGTCCGTACGTTAAAGGTTAATACAGCCCAGGAATACTGATCATTTAGCCATAACATTACCAATCATTTGTTGCCTAAATTTGTCAGGTGTAGTTAAGACAATATAAAATATATTGTATATTAATCATTGCACTATATGATAACTTTATATATGATGAATCTTTTATGGTATGTGATGCCATTAAATAAAGTCTCAGGCTAAGCTGAACAAAAAGTGTCGTTTAGGCATAATTTAAGTATGATTTCTAAGTATCAATTCTGATCGTAGAACTTTCAAGCTCTCTGCTGCAGTAACTCTTCAGTTTCCTCCTTGAAAATAAGTTTGCCATAACAGAAGTATAAGATTGTTTATATTTATTTATTTAGTAGACCATTCTGATGTAAAGACAAAGTGAAGGTAAAGCTATCCCTATAACAGGCCTTGATGGCCCATATGGTTGTGATACTTTGAAGCTCCCACATTTTCTCTGGATGGTTGGCTCACAGATGGCAGTAAGGTTGTCAGCCTTATGCGCCAGGCACCCTTTACCCCCAGGAAGGTTCCTGGTACTTATTTCTGTTAGAGGCTGAGTCAACCCAGGTCCATGGTGTGGCTGGAAGGATTAGGTAAATTGGAAAAAAAAAATACACCTCATCGGTACTAGAACCCACGACATTCGGTTTATAGCATAGTGCCTCAACCAATTACGCTACTGTGNCGCCCCCCCCCCCCCCCCCCCCCGGTGTATATTTCTATGCTATAAAATGATTGGAAATTGCAGGTTACTTTTGGTATGCATACATTGTTTTTCAGTCAGGTCCACGATTAGGTGTATATTTACTTTTATGATTATAATTACGTTACAGTAATAGTTTTTATGATGCTTGTTGCTGAGATTAAAATGGATGCACACATCATGAAGACAAAGTATAGCAGTGCTGAATTAGGACGTTCCTGTCTTACTACTGAATGGGTGTCTGAAATCTTTGAGAAACCATTGTCACCCAGCTTTGTCTACTGTTAAATCATTATAAATGCTTTCCAAATGTACTTGATAAGTTCTGAGGAATATTTTTTATCTCTGCCAGTACAACTAACTGTGTTTGACTGATGAGCCTGAGATGTACCAGGAGCTTGCAGTATGTTGGTGCATAAAGCATGCATACTGTTTGTACAGAAATTCTGTACTAAATATGTCGAATTCACTGTGCAATGTATGATTATCATGATCATAATACAACACTAAAATACTAGTTGACTGTAGAGGAGATGTCTATTATCACTGGTTTTTAAATCCTCATTGTTCCGTTGTAGCTCAAGATGGTTGGTTCTGCTAGGATTATTCATTTTTGGATGATTTAAATGGAATATAGACANCTGATAAGTCTTCACTCTACACTTTTCTTCTTCTTTCAGAATGTCTTCCTCTTCCTCCTCCTCCTCCTCCTCTCTCCCTCCCCCTCCCCCCCTCCCTCCCCCCCTCAAGGAATATATACTTTACTGCTTTTACTTCCAAGAAGGTTGGTGTAGAACTAATGCTCTAGGCTTTTATTTGGCAGATGATAGGTTCAAATCTTAATCTGGACAGCTGCTGTCATGGCTTATATTTTCATGATTTTCATCAGACCTTCCAGGATAACACTTTGATAGGCCATGACCACTTCCAAATTCTTTTCCTTTTCCTTATTCACCAAACATCTTTCCATTTGTACTGTGAGATACTGACAGCATTGTAAAGTAAACCTGAGAAAGGTTACTTTTACTTGGTACTCTGTTGTGATTTGTTTGTAAGGTTTATGTCTGACTTGATATGTTTGTTTTTCTTATCCCTGATTGTTTTTGTATCCCAGTTATAATTGTTATCGTTATATGAAGTGTTTTTTTAGCATAAGGAAGTATAGATTGTTCTTGGGGGGCCCAAACCAGACTGTACAGCGGCTTGTAACTGTATAGTCAGTGGTTTTACTCTGGGAGAGTAACCCATCTGTTCCTGTATTCAGAGGGCCCAAGAGAAATGTGGCATTTCAGGTGTGTCCAGTTGTAAGAAAGAAACTGGGCATGTATAATGCTGCCAACAACTGTAAAAACTGAAATAATGATTGCACAATGTGAGGAAACCAATGAAAACTTCTTGAAAGATGTTGTAACATAGATTTATAGTTACAATCTTAAAACTAACTTGCAGTCCTTACAGTGAAAATTCCTTTCTTTGTTGCAACAACAAAAGAGCACACCAAGTGTGCTGCAAAACCAAGTCAATGCTGACTTCTTTTTTTGATTACAATGAGAATGCTTGACAAGGTCAGATAACTAGCCAGCATTTATATTGTAACTTGTTTCGTTACTGAATAGGCCGTAGAGACGGTTAATTGGTTTATTTAACAATCTACAAATAACGGCTATAATTAATGATCACAATATTACGGGTTTCCACACTTTACAAACCCTACAACAAAATCTCTTAACACAATCTTCACTTCTCTTCATGTACTAATAACGCGGGAGCTATACAAGTCTCCCTGAAATACACACTCAGAGTACAACTGTACTACAGCACTCACTATGTCTGGAAATCACACAATAAGTCTTCCGCTCGCCGACTTCTTAGTTATCGCACACTCGCGGGCTGCTATGTTTCGACTCGGCGACTTACTTTATAACTGACTGTGAATAGCCTTCGCTGCTCCTCATGTAGCCTCGATCGGACAATACAGAAAACGGCCTTGTTGCCTGGCGCTGTGTTGCTAGCAACTCTAGCGGTAGTAACCGTTGTTACTACAGTAACGATCCTGTTGCGTCACCGTTACGTTACCGTGCGGAGGAGGGGGAGGGGAACGCTGACTCACCCGCCGCGTCACTGCTGGTGGGGGGGGGTTCTCCTTTGCGCAACATGTCACAATATTTACAATTGTGGGGACTTATTCATGATGCAGTGTGCTGAAAATGGTCACAAAGTTAGAGTCAAGAAAGTGGAGATAGTTTATTGGCCCGCAAAGCACAGCATGTGCTGCAGCTTCTGTAGCTAACCACAGTATTGTATAAATGCAGTATTTTTTTTTATTGCTAGTGGGGTGGGACTAAGTCCCTTGTACTGCGGCCACTTCTGGCCTATTGCAACAACCCCAGATGATAGGTGAGGGTGATTGTGGAGCAATTGGTGGAATGAAGATTGGCAGGGGAAACCGAAGTACTCTGAGAAAACCTGCCCGAGTGCCAGTTTGTCCACCACAAAACCCACTTGACCAGACCCGGGATCGAACCCGGGCTGCCGCGGTTGGAAGCCAGCGACTAACCGCTTGAGCTATGGCGCAGCCATAAATGCAGTAACTCCTGCCTTGCCTAATTTAGTTCCATGTGATAGCTTTAAAGTCCTTGAAGGGCAGAAGATTTGATGAAGTGGAAATCCTAAACATAAGATTTGAGGCTCTGAAGACAGTGAATATGGTTGTTACTATCTTTTGGGAAGTGTGGCTATATAGCCTCACAGCTTTGTACCAGACTGCATCACATCACTTCCCAAAAGACAGTAATCTTCATTTTTGTAACAAACTATCTCTTTAATGATCCCAAAGACTGAGGGAGTTGCTTCTAGCACTCGTAGGAACCGTGGGACAAGTATGTGTTTTGCTGAAACAGGCTGCTTTGAATGGGATTAAACCTCCCAGATTCAACTGTCTATGCTTATTGCATAGATCTGACATTTTAATGAAGGTAATTTTGTTACCTGTAAAAGAAAACTGTTTGCAGGGCTGTCATATAATAAATGTTAAAAGAAGTCCTGTTAAGTGGCAGTAAGGTGAACAGGGCCTTAGTAATATAATTTACTTAATATATTGCCTCAACTACACATGTGCACATCATCAGTTATCAGCATTGTTGTGTAGAGTTTGTAAAATAGCTATGAAACTGTTTTTTCAAATATTAATTTCTTAAAGAGGGGTAACATTGTATTGAGGATTGTGTGTAACAGTTTTTTCAGGGGCCAAAGTTAGAGATTTATGTTACAGTAGGCAAACGATCTAGTACTTAGAAGAAATTAACAAGCATAACCAATATTTAACGCACAAATAATGTCACATACAGTTCAGACAGTGATTGAAAGTAAAATGCCTCAATGCAAGAATTTATTTGTTTGTATTTTACCAGGTCTGTCGCTCGTGATATTGGTGGAGCTGATCCAGAGAGAATGGCGCCTCGTAAGGTTGAGGAGTACATTCGTGAAGTGTTTAAAAACACCGATATAAAGATAGAAGTGATCAGTGATCTTGCACTTCTGAAAGAGGAATATCCACTGTTTGTAGCTGTTGATAGGGCTGCAAGAAGTGAGTTCTGTCTGGAGTTCAGTTGCATGTTTTACACTTGAAGGCTGTATGTACATTTATGTAGTTGCTGAAAGTACTGACCATCCCCATTCACCAATTCTGCTTCATGTTTAAAATACTGTTTGACACTGAAGAGACAATGGCATGTGATTGAGAGCTCACAATTTTGAAATTCCAAGAACAGAAGCCATAGCAATGGCTTACGAAGGAACAAAGTAAAGGTATCCCTGTAACAGGCCATGGAGGCCCATAGGGTTGTGAGATGTTGAGGTTCCAACATTTTCTAGACAATCTGCTCATAGATGGTGGCAAGGTTGTCAGCCTTACACACTGGCCACTCTTTACTCCCAAGCATAGACATCATGAAAATAGTTGATACTGAACAGAGTTAAAAAAAAAAAAAGTAAAACTCTCCCTGTAACAGGCCTCAGAGGCCCATAGGGTTGAGAGACGAGGGTCCCACATTATCTAGGCAGTCTGCTCAAAAATGGTAAGGTTGTCAGCCTCACATGCTGACCGCCCTTTACCCCCCAGGAAGAATCCTGGTACTCATTTCTGTTAGAGGCTGAGTCTACCCCAGGTCCATGTTGCAGCTGGAAGGATTAGCTCAATTGAAAAAATTCCAATGACCCCATTGAGATTTGAACCCACTACCTAGAGAATAGAGTACCTTCTAGAATATACCAGTAAATGCAGTTATTTGAAGTATCAGATACACATTATTAATATGGAATGTAAGTTAATAAATTTCAAGAAAATCAATGAAGTTCCCTCTCTTATGGGTTTCTCTTCAGTTTGATCAAATCCATTGTCCCACAGAAACCTTACATGAGGACTCCATTGTATTTGTCTTGGCAAAGGTACTCTTTGTGCTGTAATTGAAGCCGGCTCACCACCACACCATATAACAGCTTTTGTCAATGTAATCAATTGGAAGTATGAATTCCACCAAGCTACATCAAACAGTTTTAAGCTTCTTGACAGTGTTTAATGTGACATATGATGTTTAATCTCCTAGTTTCTTGCAGTAAGATGCTTTACAACTTTTGCAAGTTCAGTTTTTTAAGAAGAAAAATATGTGTTATGATAGTATAGTTAAACTGTAACTCCATAATGAGGATCAGAACTTTATAAAAGCGAATTTAAGATAGCCTAATCAGTATAATGGTTAGGCTGTGGCATGAATGGGTGATGAAGCAGGGCTTTATTTCTGCAGGAGCAGAGATTTTTCATTCTCCAGAGTGTTCACACCAGGTCTGTGGCCCATGCATCCTCCTGTCCAAAGGGTACCAGAGACTTACCCAGTGGTCAAAAGCAGCCAGGTCATGAAGCTGACCTCTCACCTTCATCTAGTGCTGAGGTTAGGAATGCATGGAGTTGTACCCGCACTCCCTTATACGTCGTCACCACATTTTCCTTAATTAAGCACATCATATGAAGAACCAGTGCCGCTTTCTGCTAACACCAACTTGGTGGCCTTCATTTTTGTTTCTGTGTTCCAGGCAGTATTATAAGTTAAGTCAAAGTTCTCCTTGTACTTAATTAATTGAGCTTCACTCCTTGAAGACACATGGTGAGTGGAGGTTTCAGTTCACCATTCTTGACCTTGGCACTAGATGGAGGCGAGTTGTCAGCTTCATGCCCCAAAGGAAAGAGCCCCCAGTACCCACAGGATGGGAGGCTAGTATTCTGGGTTACGATACTGTGTACCCTTCTGATTGGCTGTCAGTTTTTCAGAGTAGGCTGCTGCCTTCATCTTTAGGATAGAAGTGACTTCTGCCCTGAAGATTGAGGCAGTGTGTTTCTCTGAAATTGTTTTTACCATCTGCAAGACTGTGTAACACAAAAGGTAAAGCTATCCCTGTAATAGGAAGTGGAGACCCATAGGGTTGTGAGATGTCAGGGCTCCCACATTTTCTAGACAGTCAACTTACAGATTAGACCATTGAAGATCGCAGTGCTAGGGCCAGTTTTATGGCTCGCCCCTCATACTCATACAGATGGCGGTGAGATTGTCAGCCTTACACACTGGCTGCCCTTCACTCCCAGGAAGATCCCTGGTACACATTTCTGTTAGAGGCTGAGTCACCCAAGTCCATAGTGCAGCTGGAAGGATTATGTCGATTGAAAAATCCATTGGTTAATTGTGTAATAAAATCAAGAACAGTAGTTTATTCATTCATCTGTAATCTGTCAAGATGACAGGTCCGCAGTCTCTTCCAAAACAGTTCCTCCACTTGATGCGATCTAGAGCTTTCTCCTTCAAATGAAAATATCCTCTTCTGTCCCCAAGGTCATCCAGCATCTTCTTACGCCTTCTTCCTCGTCTTCTGGTCACTTCTATCCGCCCCTCTATCTTTCCTTCAATAACTTCTTTTAGAAGGCAGTTACGGCATAAGATATGACCAATCCAATTAGCCTTCCGTTTTCTTATTTCGTGTAGGATAGTCCTCTGCTCACTGACTCTAAATAACACTTCTTCATTTCTCACATAATCGGTCCAAGTGATCTTCTCCATCCTTCTCCAACACCACATTTCGAAGCTTTCCAGGTGTTTCTGATCTACTGCCCTAAGTGTCCAAGTTTCAGCCCCATACAAAGCAATGCTCCAGATGTAGCATTTCACTAGTTTCTTTCTCAAATTTAAGTCCACTTTGCTTGTAAAAAGATTCTTCTTCTTGCTAAATGCAGCTTTTGCCATGGCAATCCTAGATTTAATTTCACACGTACTCCTTTCATCATCTGTTAACAAGCTACTCAAATATTTAAAACATTTCACATTCTCCAGTTGTTTTTGGTCTAATCATATAATATAATTTTTAAATTATTAAATCACTGGTTTTTCTTGTCAGGATCATATAACATAATTGTTTATTCCAGGTCCAGCCAAGTGTGTGTCTGAGGTGAAGCATCATCTAATGACTAAGGTTGCTGTAGTGTTCTAGGTGGCTTTCTCAAATAAGTTGTCCCTCACAAGACTTAATAAAGTTCAACTCTTCAGCAGCATTACACATCAGTGCTTGTTAGATATTTCTCCACCAGATATGAATATATGTCACTGTTATAGAGGGCTGTGGTAGAACAAAGAAAGAATTTACAGTTTAATGAAACGCTAAGCTGAGTGAACAATAACCTCTCACACATTATGTGCCAGTTCACAACATCTCATAGTTGTGATTATGGATGTGATGGGGCTAAGTGGGTATCTTAATAGATTCAGTACCACTTTTAATATATTTATGTTTCCTGCAGATATTGAACGACATCATGGGCGAATTGTGTACTTGACGTATGAACCCAGCTCTGGCAGTGTGGATAAAACCTTATACTTGGTTGGCAAGGGGGTGACCTATGACACGGGAGGAGCTGACATTAAGGCAGGAGGAGTCATGGCGGGCATGTCGCGAGACAAATGCGGTGCTGCAGCAGTGGCTGGGTTCATGCAGGTATACACATACCAACACTGTGACCTACCAGTCATTAGAATTAGACCAATAATCAATTCAGGATATCCATCATTCTTGCCAGGAAAATGCTGAAATGTCACCTTAAAATAAGCAACAGCCATGTCACTTTTGAAATTCATCATGGAAGTGACTGTCAACACCGTCATCTGAGATGTTACGTCATGTAGTCCGGTAGACGTTCACAATTATTTTGAAGAAATGTACTACTTCCATCTTCAGGGTTGAAGAATAATCTAAGCAGAGGGATTTGCCTGTTCACTGCATGTGTTATTCATTAACTTTGAAGCTGGAGGTAGTTTATTCCTCAGGATGATCAGTAAACTTCTACTAGAATGCAGAGCATAACATCCCACAAGATAAGTGTCCCCCCTCCCCCCATTAATATTTAATACTGTTCAGTTGTCTAAAATAATCAGATGAGTATTTTCAACTTATGTATATATGAATACTTTCTCGTTGATTTGTCTATTCTAGGTATTGTCAGTCTTGAAGCCACGTGGTATAAAAGTAGTAGGAGCCCTACCTCTTGTGCGAAATAGTGTAGGTGAGGACTCCTATGTGGCTGACGAGGTGATCATTTCACGCAACAAGTTGAGAGTGCGGATTGGTAACACAGATGCTGAGGGCAGGATGATCTTGGGTGATGTATTGTGTAAGGTAAGGTACACATTCTGTAGCTGTTATGTCAGGTGAAGGAATTGGTACCAACAGATTCTGCCTAGCACCATTAGCTGCAGGTTTTGTCCAGAGCCAGTTCTTAACACATTGAGGACTGGTCGCATGATATCATGCTTTTGGCTTTTAAACTTGGCGGACCCGTCACATGATATCATGATTTTAGGACACGTTAGGATGTAACACTATACCTTGCAATGGCATAATAAAACTCTGGAATGTGTGCTTGCTTGTCAGTAACTTGACCTCGCTGTTTTCTTTGCTGCTCTTTGAGCTGTATGTACCAGCCAGTAGTTAGTGGTGGGGTATGGACAAGGACAAATTCTTCTCCGATGAGCTAGCTGACCTGGCTTGTGAGACGTGTAGTAATGGTGATTCAGAGAGCGGCAGTGACAGGAGAACAAAGAATTGTGGCCACAGACAGTAAAAGTGACAGTAGCTATGACGATACTGGGGGTAATAACATTGCGGGGACAGTAAAAAATATAAAAAAATCACAAAAATCTAAACCCCGACTCGAAATTTAAGTGCAAAGCATTTCTGATGAATGTGGCAAAGGCCTGGGCTTCAGACCAGATGGTGGCGGCAGAACCAGGGTGAGACACAGACTTAATGCGACCTGGCCCATCAACTCCCACCCCATGCAGTCCTCATGTGGACCCCCCAGGGCGACTCTCGAGTGATATGCAGAAACATACCCTCGTGAAAATTGTGAAAAGTGAAGATTCCAAGGGGAAGCATCCTTCTAGGCAGTGTCGTGTTTGCACAGTTCACAAAAAAATGAGTATGACTACATTTGCAAGTTCTGTATAATACCACTTCATGAAGGGGAATGTTTCCAGAAATATCGAAATATCACACCCTCAGGCACTTCTAGTAGCATTGGTAAGTGTTCTCCAAAAATTATAGTTCATAAAATTAATTAGGACATATATTAATTTTTAAAGTGAACAGTGCACAAGTTAGGGTAGTGGTTTAAATATTTAAATCGTCGGTCCGCAATGTGTTAAGTCAATTGTTAATTGAACCAATTTTTATGTAAGGCAAATTTCTGCTGTTACTTTGTGTTTCTGCCTTGTGGTTACCCAGAGAAAGTTACTACAGGGAAACACAATCTTGTGCTTTCTTATTAGTGTTGCTTGTTACTCAGTATTTTCATCCAGGAAATAGCTAGTCAGATTTCAGAGATAGGGCCACACAGAAATTTTTTTTTTCATTGCTGTATTAAGTAGAATATAGTTTTTATGTGTATATGATGAAGTTGCATAAACTGAACAATGTAAGGCATAAATTTATCAGTGACCTTCATAAAATTTTGCTTTATATGCCATAAAAATGTGTGAATGAAATATGAAATTCGTAGTTCTCACAGCAGTGACTGTAAAGGTTACTGTGTTCTGTGATATAATGGCATATATATAGTCTGTTAGATGTTTAGTGACATATCATAGGAATGTGCTGACTTTCAGTTTCCGAGTAGGAGAATAAGACTTCAATCCTGATGAAGGAGGCTGCTTTTTTCCTCGAGAACATTGGTGAACATCTACCAGACTACATGGTGTCACATCCCAGAAGGCAGTAACCCTCATGTGAATGCAATATATTTATAAGATGTGTTTATAATTCCAGATGAGAGAACTTGCAGAAAAAGCCATTAATCCGCATCTTGTTACAATTGCCACTTTAACTGGACATGCTGTGCTCACTGTGGGAACGGGATATTCAGTAAGTTGTTCTGAACATGTACTCCATCTCGTATTCCAAAGAACGCAACATTTAAGAAGCTTCACTGTTTCTCTCTATCTCTCCACATATAACAATTTGACAACCACTCAACATATTTTAATTAAGTACAAATATTATGTTTTTGGACATTATCCATTCTCCTATTTATGCTTATAAAAACGTTTTCAGAGACTGGATTCTGTTTCCGTCTTCAGGTAAGACCTACCCAGTTGGGCCCAGTCCATACAGCTAGCCGTTTTCAAATTTTTGTTGTTAGATTGTAATGGATAACGGACCAGCAAGGAAGTCATTACATGCACAACAGCTGCAGGCTGCTGGTGAAGAGCTAGGTGACATGGTGGAGATAAGCACTATACGTAAGGAGGACATCGCTTTCCACAGAGGTGAGTTTGTTTTTCCTGATCTCTTATATTTTCCTGTGTGAATGTTTCTAATTGAGTGTGGGTGTGGTATAAATGGTGGTATCTATCTAAAGCTCTGGTAATGTACCAAAGGTTCGTCATGACTACTCATACCAAAACTTAACTACCGGACCCAATCCTGAACCAGTTCACTTCCATTCATATTGTCATGTGTTAGTGACTAGATACAAGGTTTGGATTGGTTATTAGTTTTATTGAACACTAATAAGTCCTAACTACGAATAATTTTAGCACTCTCACTAATTCACACACTCTGCTTCACACTACAGCACACACTAAGACTTCTCCATCTTCACTAGCCGTTGCCTGATAATAGATTCTAACATTGTCCTCTGCTTATGTCCTTATTGGCTGGCAGCTGTGTCACAACTAACTCAACCTTCAATTTCAATCATAACTCATGTCCATCTAGCCATGACTGTCCACTTACTCGCCCTCACTGGCTTTCAGTCATAGTCAAAGTCAGAGCTACTTTGGTTTACTGCCAATCAGTTCATCTTGGCGTCAGGCCCCATGAGGCCCATGGCCAGAGATTTTTTCCAACTGAACTCTTGTGGTAATAATCCTTATGTGACATCCACACTGAGAAGAAGATGGATGTGTCTCTTATGACTATGCATGGCCTCTTGTCAAGTGTATATTTCGCACGTATAACATCAGCACAGACAGCATAGAAAACGCGACTTCCAGTAATTCCTCTGTCGTCATGTCATGTGTTTGTTGTTTTAGAAACTTGTTTATTGAGGTGTTACCTAGCAGCAAAGAGTTTCTTCTGGCTTTCAGATGTCATATCACAATATCCTGTATGATACACTTTGTGTAATATTCTCTTACCTTGTTCTCCAGAGTGTCCGCTTTTCATGTGTTCCCATCAAATTTATGTATGCACTCCTTATCTGCTCATCTGAACATATTTTCTAGGCCATCATAACCTCTGATTTGATTTGTTTACCCTAATGTTGGCTGAGTTCTGTACATTTATAAAGTTTCTTTGTTATGTCTTTTGTCCCATATTGTGGCCATACTTCAACTGTTTCAAAACCTTAGCTTGTTTTCAAATAATTTTCAATATATGTTCTTCCCTCACAGAAGAGACCACATCTCATAACTTCGGTAGAGGGAGTGCTTTATGTATCTCAATATATTAGTATTTTGGAAAGTGTGCGTGATGATAGCAGTTCTTGAACTTGCCAAATTTTGTTATTTTCTTACAGTGACATGGTACATGTAGATAGTAATGTGTATAGGAACATTGCCATTTCAGTTAAGTTCATAGAACTGCATTGACCCACTGTAAAAAATTATTGGGAACCTGGGAGTGTCTTGCCAGTAATCAACTCATAAAATTGAGGTTTCATTCAGTTTGTTCCAGCAGTGCTGGTGTGCTGGTTTTATTTCAAAACAGTGGAGACAGTGATGGCACAGGTATGTTACAGCATGCAGGGGCATGAAAATGGGTTCATATATGGCAGAGTAAATAACTTTATAAAGAAGGACTTGGTATAGCTGAGTCAGTATAGCGTCAGGCTACGAACTGGACAACCAAAGTTCGACTCCTGGCAGGGGAAATATCTTTCTCTTATCCACAGCATCCAGACCATGCCATGGCCATGGGGATTCATCAGCTAAAGTTGGCACTAACTTCGCTGACAAGCGGCGGTCGCTCGGTTGGTGTAGTCACTTGTGGACTTGAGCCACAGGGTTTATGGAATTAGTATGCCCCACTATGCTTATATGCAATATTGATACAGTGTAGCAAACCATCAGCACCTGATTTGTAAGCACTGTTGACTTTTCAGCATTTAATGTAAATAAGTATTCTTTATCTCAGTGGGTTCAGTCCTTGTTCTTAGAGACGTGCAGTAGTGTAGTTGATTGAGGCACTATGCTACAAACCAGAAGGTCATGGGTTCAATTCCTGATGAGGTCATTTGATTTTTTTTTCAATTAACCTAATCCTTCTAGCTTCACTACAGCCTGGGGTCGACTCAGCATCTAACAGAAATCTGTACCAGGAATATTCCTGGGGGTAAAGGGCGGCTGGCGCATGAGGCTGACAACCTCAGCACCATCTGTGAGCTAACTGCCTGGAAAATGTGGGAACCTTCATGGCCTGTTAAAGGGATAACTTTACCTTTTACCTTATTCTTATGCTAGTGTTTTATATATTTTATCTTTGTAGGGCAGATATTTGTGTTTGTGTAGTGGAAAGAAATATATTATTTACAACACAACTTGTGTATAGGTACCTATAGTATAATATGGTCCCTCAGTTGTTTGAAGTTGGACATGCCCGATTTATGAGAAGGCAGCTGAAAGATTAATAGAATCTCAGGGGAAAGCTGAGTAACGTGATGAAAATGAACTGTTTTAACAAGAAGGTAAAAATGCCGCTGTGCCTGATCATTTCATAAAGCTTGTAGGTAGAGATCCTTTTGCTGTAGATGTTACTGGTAGACAGAGGTTAATAAACTTTAAACTTGGCAGTGCAACAGGGCTTAGCATTGTGAATTAAGATTGTATTAGAACTAGATGCCAAAGGTGACCTATTCATGTTTTGAGAAAACCTAAATGCTTGCATGTGGTACCATGTGATTCATGGTGTCCAGTGGGATTGCATGTGCAATTTGTGATTATGAGGGGACCTACAGTTCAGCCCCATTTTATACAAAAATATGTGTATGTTGGGGCCTCCTCTGTGGTCTAGTGGTCAGAGTTCCTGGCTACAGATCCAGAGGTCCTGGGTTCGATTCCCCGCATTACCAGATTTTCTGAGAAGTAGTGGGTCTGGAACAGGTCCACTCAGTCTCATGAGGATAACTGAGGAGCTACTGGAATGGAAAAGTAGCGGCTTCGGTCTAGAAAACTGAGATTAACGGCCATGGAAATGTGTTGTGCTGACCACGCAACACCCTCTATCTGCAAAAGTTGGCACTAACTTTGCTGAAAAACGGCGGTCTCTCAATCGGTATAGTTCACTTGCGGACTAAACTCCATGGAGTGTAGTATTTTATGTGTATGTTGTCTGGTTGTCTGCTTACAAAGTGATGATGATACCATGGCTTTTTTCACCATAAAAACCGCCACGTATATCCAGAACTTCATTCTACACCATCAGGTTGAGATTTAGTTCAGGATTTAAAATGTTAAGTATTATTCTTGACTGAAATACAAATAATTGGAGAGTATTGTGAATTAATCAGATTTGGCCTCATTATTCATGCTTCATTTTACAGAGGCACTTCTAACCTACTTCTGTTTAAAAAAAATTGAACTAAGAAATTAACAGATTCCAAGCCTTTGTGGAATATTTAATGGTCATGTGGCAGGTTTAGAAATTTCTTACATCCACGCAACAGTTAGTACGTTCAGTCAAGCAGGTTGGGTCAAACAGTAACACCTGTGGCTTGTATTTAAGAGGTACCCAGTATGAATCTTTGCAAGGATACATGTTATCCTAAATCCAGTATTTTGTGGCTTTTCTTAGCCCCCCCACACACACACACAAATGTGAAGTTACTACCTCAGTTTAGGCTATGACCACTTCCTTTGATGTCCATACAATTCGTTATGCAGTGTAAAGTGTCACTGACACATATCACTGAAAGAAATGCCATGGGTAAAATTTAAATCATTGTTGGAAGCAAAATCAATAACTGAGGCTGTTTTGAAATTTCTGCAGTTATTCTGCAAACTGGACGATCCATTCATACATAACAGAGAATTTACTGCTTATATGGTACGCAAATTCCATGCTTGCCATTAATGAGTCTTTATAACTTCTGCAGTTGAAACAGCATTATTAAAACCCCAAGAATAAAATATGATCTTCCCATCTACATCCAGGTTTTCTATGATATTTTCATTTACATTTTTCTATAATTCTTTCATTTGCTGCATGCATCATCATTCACTGTCTTACACTTTCTTAAATTGCTGTAACAACATTAATTGTAGAGTACAAATTATAAATGTCCTTATCATGTAAGTTGTCTGTACTCTTTGTTGTCCTCCCATTAGTGCTTCTCTCATATCCTTGTCCATTGTTTCCATACTCTGCTCTCTTGATCGTCATTTGCCTCATCTTTTGCGCCTTGCCCTTTTTCATCCCAGCGGTCATTAATTTGATATCTTTCAGATGATTCCTGTTGCCTTCCATGCATAACATATGTTCATACAATAGTATGCTTAATTTGACGGCTTATTTTGTTGTGTTTTTACAAATTCAGGTGCAGATATCACCCCCAGATTGTTTCCTTTATGAAAATTTAAATTTCACACATAATACTTTTGCCAGTATTCAAGATTACTGGTTTTTTTTTAACTTTGTCTGTTGTCCAGTATTCTGATAAATACAGCGTTTCAGAAATTGAATCTGTTTCCTTCCTAAGATGAGGAGTGGAAGACATCTACTATGTTGGGTCCATTAGAAAGTGAACCTCAGTCACTAGACCTAGTTCTTTCTAACAGATCCATCAGAGTATGTCTCCCCCATCCCCCACCCAAGGATGGAAAGAGATCTAGTTTCCAAAATGCTGAATTCTTTTGTGTTATTTTGAATATTTGTCAATGGACGAAGTCCAAAAACACAGTAATCCCAAGTCTGATACACCATTGTCAGAACCCGTTAGAACTACTCTTGTCACTGTGTTCTGATAGGATTTATTCTTGATTTATACGCCACAGAGAGGGTTGTATTTTCTCTGTTTTAAGGTAAAGGAATGGGTGATGATGTATTTCAAGCCAACAACTTGCCTTCCACTAGGACACCTCGTGGACATCAAGGACCTGCCGGATTTTTGATGTTGGTGTCTGGACTTGATAAGGTAACAGTGGCTGAGTTTTCATATTGGAGGCCAAACTTGGATGTTTTTTATTTCCTTTTCATGCCACAGAGATTACTGTTCTGCTCCTACTTAATTGTTTCAGGTCATTACTCTCAGAACCATTTTTTTCCCTTGGCACTACAGCCCCAGTGGGCCATGAACTTCTCTGTTCACTTCAGTTTTTCTAGATCTTACACATTCGGTAGGACTCCTTGGGCGGGTGATCAGCTCATCGCAAGGCCTCTACCTGTACACAAACACAGAAAAACGCGCGCACACACAAACTAAACATCCATGCCCTGAGTGGGATTCAAACCCATGATCCCAGTTTCCAAGCGAGCGAAGACAGTACATGCCTTAGACCACTCGGCTACTGTGACCGGCCCATTAAATGTTTACTGATGTAGAATTCAGTGGATAGGAATATGATTTCTGCATAAAAATCAAAACTTTTATTTGCTAATTTATGTGAATTAGAAAGTGGTTTAGGTCACTCAAATTTGTAATGTGTTTGTTACCCGAAATGTCAATTACGTGTCTGCTAAAGGAATTCCTTCAAACATAATTATAACTAGAAGAATTCAGAGGCCTTTGACAGTGCTTCTTTGATAATACTGGCCAAAGTTTATCTATGTTATTTCTTATAAGCATTTAATATTGTTGCAGATGTGAAGTCTTTTATAACTAATAGAGGTGTAATTAACACTTCGTGGACCGGTTGCATAATATGCTTTTCGCTTTTAAATGTGGCGGACCGGTCACATAATATTATGATTTTAGGACACATTATGTTGCAGCACACTATACCCTTGGTCTGGTGCCATGCAGATGCATAACTGGTGCATAATAGACCTCCCGAATGTTTGCTTAGTAGTCAGTAACATGACCTCGCTGTTTTCCTATCTCACTCCAAAGGAAAATGCCTTTGTTCGTCTTCAAGCTGTATATACCAGGCAGTAAGTAGTGCAATATGGATCAAGGACGAAAGCGGTTGAAGACCAAGCGATCTCTCGGAGAACAAGAAATATCTGACTTGTTCTCCGATGAGTTGTCTGACGTGCCTTGTGACAGGAGTAGTGATAGTGACTCAGACAGTGGCAGTGACAGGGGACAACAAGGAATTGGGGCCACAGACAGTAAAAGTGAAAGTAGCTCTGATGAAAATGCGGGTAGTAATATTGCGGGGACAGCCACATGGGGAAAAGTAGACAAAACGCCTACTTTGGGACAGTTTACTGGAAATCCGGGGGTGAAACAGATTCCATCGGACCCAACGCAAGTGTCTGAAGTAGCAGAACTGTTTTTTGGAGATACTTTCTTTGACATGTTAAGTCAGGAAACTAACATACTATCTCCAACACCGTGAAGAGTATAACAGAAGTTATAAGGTGTTGAAGTGGGTGGATGTCACTTCAGCAGAAATGAAAAATTTTTTTGCCGTTATCTTTCTAATGGGCCATACAAGGATGGATAATCTGAAAGAGTATTGGTCAACAGATCCATTTTTAGAAATTCTAATTTTTGGCAAACTAATAAGCCATAAGAAATTTTAGCAAATTTGGTGGTGGTTGCATTTCAGTGATAATGAACTGCAACCACAATCGACAAGCAGGCTTTTCAAAATTCAGCCCTTATTGAACTTTTTCGTTCAGAAATTTCAGACTGTTTATAAGCCAAACCAACAACTGTCTTTGGACGAATCTGTGATTCCTTGGAGGGGAAGGCTTCATATTCGAACATATAATCCTGGGAAACTTACAAAGTATGGCCTACTTGTTCGTGTAGTTACTGAAAGCACTTCAGGCTATATTGGAAATTTAGAAATTTATTCTGGTGAAGGCAAAAAATTACAAGAAACTATTGTTTCCGTTTTGGAACCCTATCTTGATCAAAATTACCATGTCTATCAAGACAATTATTATAACAGTGTGGCAACTGCAGAACACCTACTTTCGAGAAAAATACGTGTTTGTGGAACAATTAGGGTGAACAGAGGCCTTCCTCCAGATCTGAAAGAGGAATCTAAATCTTTGAAATGTGGTGAAACCACATTCAGGAGGAAGGGGGATATTCTTCTTCAGTTCTGGAGGGATACTCGTGTTGTGAATATGATTTCCACAATTCAAGCATGGTTGGTGTTCAAAGGAGACATGGACAAGTAAAGAAGCCTGTTTATATTTCTGAGTATAATATGTTCATGAAGGGAGTTTATAGAGACGATCAGTATTTGGTCTGTTATTCTCTTCCTAGGAAAACAATAAAGTGGACAAACAAAGTTGCCTTGTGGCTTATATAAATTGTGCTATTTTAAATTCATTTTTGGTTTACAAAAATCTAAACCCTGATTCAGAATTTAAATACAAAGCATTTCTGATGAATGTGGCAAAGACCTGGGCTACAGACCAGATGGTGGTGGCAGAACGAGAGTCAGACACAGACTTAATGCGACCGGGCCCATCAACTCCCAAAGACCTCATGTGGACCCCCTTGGGCAACTCTCAGGTGATATGCGGAATCATACCCTCATGAAAATTGTGAAGAGTGAACATTCCAAGGGGAAGCATGCTTCTAGGCAATGCCATGCTTGCGGAGTTAAAAAAAAAAAGGAGTATGACTGCCTACATTTGCAAGTTCTTTGTAATGCCACTTCACAAAGGGGAATGTTTCCAGAAATATCACACTCTCAAGCACTTCTAGGAGCATTGGTAAGTGTTCTCCAAAAATTTTAGATCATAAAATTAATTAGGAGATTTTATATTTTTAAAGTGAACAGTGCGCGAGTTCGGGTAGTAGGTTTAAAAATGCTGGTTCCCAGGGTGATTTAAATATTTAAATTGCTGGTCCGCAAATTGTTAATAAAAAATGTCCCTATTATTATCGACATTCTCAGTTATTCAGCCACTCATTTTAGTGTCAATTACATAACTGAAAGAAACAGTAGAGTACTGACTGCATGAACTTGTTTATATCCCCAGTCATAATCTATCTTATTGTAGCTGAGAACTGAGTACAGAGATGTGCCATATATGTTTCTGTTATAGCATGGATCAGAGTCTAAAACACCGTTGAAATACTCACATCTTGACATCGCTGCTTCTGGTGGGGACCTCCCAAATGATGCCACTGGTGCCCCAATTTTGGGACTTGCTGGCTTGTACTTAAAGGACCGTTACTGATTTGTCATCATATGTAATTTACTCAGTGGACCACTTTCATTTGGTAAAGTGTATAAGCTGTGTATGGTGCTATTTATCCTGGGTTCCAGAATTTGTTTTACCCAACTGTGTGTTTCTACGCTCGTCTTTGACACTGCAATTACAGCAGCCTTGCAGCGTTCTCAAGTAGGTAGTAGCGTGGGGATTTATGTATCTTTCAAGCAGCCTTATTTTACACTGTTGTTTCTAGTGTTGTTTATTGTGCCCAAGGTATGTAAATTGCACTTTGCAATATAGTTTGGTACTTATGACTAGCCCTCTACAAAGTATACTTGCAGCTAATCAGTTTCCAAATACAGTGGAACTCTCATTTAATGTTCTTGATTGAAGGTTGTTCCTTCTTTGATATTCAGTTTCAGTTATCCATCAACACTAATCATAGAATTATATTTCTTCCTTTTAAGATTTTCCTGAGTTTAGGTTCCAATCTGCTATTGTGTGAGGAAACCTTAAAAGGGGTTTTTTGTCATATAATTCCCAATTTTTGTTTGTGTTACTGAAATAGCAGTGTCTGTTTATACATGTAGATGTGAGTCAAAATATATGCTGTAATCAAAAATAGCCATTCATTTCCAGAGATATAGAAAATTGGTTTATTGTACCCTTAAAAAATGTGATCAGAATTATCTGTTCCAAGTAATTGCACACTTCTGAAATATGTTCTTAGCAACTCCGTGGGGCGAGCAGTTTTCTTGAGGAACTAATTATCACTCAACTATTTAAATAAAACAGTCCATCACTTTGTTCAAAAAAATGAACTGCTGGACCTTCTCCTGAGCCAGTTAAATCCAGTTCATAACCTCAAACCATGTTCATCTATGATTTCTCATATTATTGTTCCTCCCATCTGTGTCTAGGTCTCGTGAGTGGGTTCTTCCTTTCAGGTCTTTTGCCTGATGTTTTTTATCTCTTAAAAATACTGTGAATCTTGATAATGTATATGTATAGACTTTGGCTTTCATATGGAAACTGCAATAAAGCCTGTATTATTATTATTTGTGCACTATCTTGTGTTCCAGTTAAAATATGTTGCAGCATGGGATGACAGAGATTATGGAAACTGAAATTAAATACAGATATGTTTAATAATGCTGACATTATAATTATATTTATGAATTTCATATACAGTGGAACTCCACATTTAATGTTCCTCAGTTGAGGTTTTCCCTTATTTAGCATTGAGTTTCATTGATTCCTAGTCTTCTGTTATCTCAGTTATAAATTACTTCCATTTAGGATTTTCTTCAAATTAATGTTCAGATTCACTGCTCCCAAACAAACCTTAAGTGAGGGTTTCACTGTACTATATATGTCCAGTATGCAAAGAGTTCTTACATTTTTAACAAGACTTTTCATTTATATTATGGTCAGATTTTCTGACTGAAGTTTATATCTGAAAATTGATACTTCCTATGGCTCATTTTGTTGCCAGTATCAATTTGTAACATAGGCTGAAATCTGTGTCTCCACTTGGTATTAAATGGGGTTCAGTGCTCTATATTCATACCAATATAATGTAATGGTCCAAAGAGTATACTACTGGCAAGTTACTTATTTTGAAATATTTATAATGGGATATAGGTATTTATGTGGTATCATGCTTGTTTTCTTTGTATATTTTGTTAAATGTTTTACAAGAGGCTGTGTAAATCTTTCAGAGGTCTTCAATATGGGGCAAACAGTACTTCTTTATCTTTGTGAAAGGATAACCTTTTACATAATATGTACTTGAAAATTTGTAATGAATTTTGTAAGAATAAAATATAGTTAATCTGTTCATGATATAAATTACAGTCACCAAGATATTATAGTTAATTTCCTTTAACCTTTTCCATGCTCTGAGTGAGATACCCTACCTTTAAAAACACTTGATACTTCCAATTAACCCTTTGGGCTTGAGGTTTTCAGGTGTGGAAAAGTACATTATAACTGGGATTATGAAGAGGAATGACTGGCTTAGTTCTGTAAGCCAACCTTCTATCCACCCAAGCGTTGTATGGAAAGTGTTCCATAGGTGGATGCAAAATGCACTGTAGATGGGTTTATTTCTGAAGAAATCAACATGTGATGCCGTACTAAGATTGAATCATTCCATAAGCTGATCATTTCAAGGCATTATGCCATTCTGAGCACTGAAGCGAAATACATTGTCGATAAAATTATTTCTGGAAAAGTCAATACCTAATGGTATACTAAAGAGATGGAACAGTTTTGTAAGCCAGTCCTTGGGCAGATAGTTCAAAATCTGGATATGTGGGAGTCATTCCCTGCACGGGAGCAGGAACTCTGGGGCCTTCTACGTTCTACATGGACCATAAATGGGGTAGATTGAAAAATATGCCCAGCTAATTTTCGATGTGTTACAAGATACCTGTTCCTGAGGTGTGTATCAGTGTTGGCATCACAGCCTGGTTACTTCAGGATGTAGATTTTGCCACCAATGGACACTTAAGATGGATGACCCAACATCAAAAGGAGGGAAATAACATACACGTGTACAAGGTGGTTCAAATATGACCGGGACTGTATGGCAGATGTGTCAGAAGGTTCCATTTCAATTTCTGGAGGGTTTCCATTGTTTTGGCTGTATGGGAGCATGCATTGTCTTGAAGAAAGGCTACCCACTTTCCACCTGTCTTCTGCTTGGATCGGACATTTTCCTTCATATCTGTTGCCAGGAGGTCTGAGTGATAAACTGCATTGACTGTTCTGGCATCTGTCAGAAAGTCTACATGGATAACCCCCTGCCAGTCCCAGAAGAACGTTGCCATTACTTTTCCTGCCCAATGCTCTGCCGCGCTCTTGGGTTTGGGAGAACTGGTATGCTGCCACTCACGTGATGACTGCTGGGACTCGGGAATGAAGTGGTGCACCCACGTTTGATCGGTGGTCACTATAGACTTCAAAAATGCTTCACCTTCGTCTTCAAACTGCTGTAGGAGATGACTGGCAGCTTGCATGTGCACCATTTTGTTCATGTCCGTCAAAGTGTGTGGTACCCACCGTGCATTCATCTTGCAATAGTGCAGGTGGTATTTCACAATGTATTCTACACTACCAACACTGATGGACAGCGTTGCTCCAAGTTCCTTGATAGTGATGCGCCTATTCTCACAAATAAGTGCGTCTGCACGATCAATGTTTGGCTTGGTGACGGATGTTTGCGGCCGACGATCATGCAGTTCATTCTGCACGCACTCTCTGCCCTCTCTCAAGCTCTTATACCATTCAAACACATGAGTCCATGAGAGAGAGACTTCCCCATACTATTGTTGAAGTCTGTGGTGAATTTCACCTGATGGGACGTTTTCTCCAATGAGGAATTTGATCACAATGCATTGTTCCAAGCTCCGCGGCACCTTCTGTTCGCTCATCACTCTAGCAACTCCCAGACAGGACTGAGCAGTTCTAACCCGAACAGGAGGGAGGGTGGAGGTTGTGACTTCACTCTCTCAAGGTCTAGAAGTAAACACGAAGAAAGGAAAGTATATGTTGATATTGCGATAACAAGAATGAAGGGCAAAATCATGGCAAAGGTAGCCAATAGGTCCTTTGAAAATATGGTGAAGTTAAAATATTTGGGCAGTAACGAATCAAATTTGATTCATACGAAAATTAAGATTTCCAGCAATGCTTGGTACCATTTAGTTCAGATCATTTTGTTTTCTCATATAGTATGTAAAAATGTAAAAGGTAGAAATTTACAACTAATTTTACCAGTTTTTTTGTATAGATGTGAAAATTTGTTTCTGACATTAAGGGTGGAACATAGGCTGAGGATATTTTAGAAGAGGGTGCTTAGAATATTTGGACCAAAGAGGTATAAAATTGTGGGAGGTTAGAGAAAGTTCCTCTAACAAGTGAAGGCGTGGACTGAATTAATTTGGTAGACTGCAGCTTTAGGGCACTATGAATGTAAACTCTTATATCTGAGTGGACGAAAGTCTCAAAACGCATTGTTTTATAATGTTTTTATAACATTCGCCAAAAGGACCAATAGTGCCTACCAATTAACCCCAAGTGATATCGCTAGTGCAGTGCACATGGATCGGCAGAGATAGTAGCTTGCGTAGCGCCTATCTTCTCTGAGGTTCGGATGTGACGTCATTCACTTCCGACCAATAGCCATTTGCTTTTCATCTGAATATGTGTGCCGTGTATTATACTAGTCTTTTCAAAATGGCACTTCGAAGGTAGTGGTAGTGGAAAGGCGTTTCTGAAGGTTTTTGAACGATTCCGTAATAAATGTGTAATTTAGTTGTACGTATTGTTGTGAATGATGTTCTCTGACAGTTATTATGAATATTTACTTTCGGTCTAGTAAATTTCTATACAGCAATATTGAAATGCCACATGTTGGAATGTGTATTTCCATGTCTAATAGCTTGTATTTTTTATGTCATGTTCGTAAGTTAATGAATAATGAGACGTCGGTCTTCTGGAATTTGATATTATATGGTATGGTAGGTTATAAACGTTTCGAAAGAACACGTATTGCCGCAGTTGGTAAATGGAAGTATTTGCACATTTTCTTCCACAGTTCTTTTACATATTTTTGTGTTGCAGTTCACCTATGATTTTTCCAACTAGCACCGACAGATTGGCGTTCATGTGACACAAGTCAACTATCCATAAGTTTACCCATGCTTCTGCCACAGCATGTTTTCCAGTGATGGTATTTACTTTGTATTCTCTTATGCTGTACCAGAACGTAAAAATAGTGTACAAAATTAATCATGCACGCAGTTTTTACAAGGGTTGAAACTAAGATCCCCACTTGAAGGGAGGTAATGTTTGAGAATGGGATGCTGATGAGAATATTTGAAAAAGGTGAGAAAGGAAGTGATCAGGTTGGTGAAAATTACATAATGGAGAATTTTCAGCTGTCATGCTTATGTCACTGCTGGCTGGCTACCATCTCCCAGCTCATGACGTTAACTGGCCAAGTTGCCTTAACGTCTCTTGCTCTGTTGCTCTTGCCTTAGCTTGGACTGCATAGAAGACCCCATTTTCAGCAGTTCCTTTATTGTCACTGATGTGTTGGGAAGTTGTTGCATAGTGACAGTTCACTTGTTTGTGGAGCCATTCCCACAATAAGTAGTCATGTCACAATATTAAATGCAACTCTCGCATTTGAAATGTTTCTGACCTGTTGGAAGGCACATTCACTTGCATCTGCCTCTGTGGCTATGTGATATTTCTTTGAGACTGTATTTGAAAATGTCCTATTGTCTTTCTGTTAAAGCTGGTGCATAAGTCTGACAACCTCACTGCCATCTGCAAGCTGATTCTTTACAGAAAATGTGGCAGCCTTAGCGTCTCACAACCCTATGAGCTTCCATTGTCCTTACCTTCCTGTTGAAGAATTGGCTTATAAATATTGTCTTATTCCGGCATAAGGTGACATTAGTGCTCCCTAAAGGCAGAAAATGTGGTACGAGCTATGTCAATAAAGTTTGCAAACTCGCCACCATGTCCTTGCTATGGCAGCAGTGGACAGGAACCTCAGTATGGTTCAGTGACATTGGCATATCAGTGTTTTACAGCTGTGTTCTTGATCTCTGGCAGACTCTCTGAGTGGCGTCTATTGTCATAGTGTGTTTTGGTGTGCCATGGAGAGAATGTTGGAGCTTGAATTAGACCAACAAACAAACATGAAATTGTTAAACTTGGCAAGAGTGGAAGCAAAATCAGAGAGATGTTAGTGCAAGTTTACAGGGAAAACAGCAGGTTACAAGTAGGTGATACTTTTTTTTATTGGGGGAAGAGAAAGTGTCGCTGATGAAGAGAGATCAGGATGGCCAGCAACGAGCAGAACTGAAGAAAACAATGTAAAAATTTGTCAAATTGTGTGTGAAAAATGTCAGCTGACTGTCGAGCATAGCAAGTGAACATCAACAGAGAAACAAGAAAATCTTCACATGAGGAAGATTTATGCAAAAATGGTCCCAAAGGAGCTCACCAAAGAACAAAAGCAAAGGAGTCAAAATTTGCCAAGACCTTTTGTAGAGGCAAGATGAAATTTTGGGCCATGTCATCACAGGTGATGAAACATGGGTCTACCAATACAACCCTGAAATGAAATGGCAAAGTGCACAATGAAAGAGTACCAATTCTCCATGACGAAAAAAGTTCCATCAGTCCAAATCAAGAGTCTGAACATTCAGTGTTGCTAACTTTTTTTTATATTAGAGGGATTGTTCATTATGAGTTTGTACCACATGGACAGTCAGCCAAGTTTACTATCTGGAAGTACTGAAAAGGCTGCATGAAAAAGTTAGGTAGTAATGATCCAAACTTTTTGCCAGCAACTCCTGGATCTTGCGTCACAACACTGTCTGTGGGAAGTTTTTAGCTAGTAAACAACTGTCCTATTCACCGAATCTAGCCCACAATGATTTATTTCTCTTCCTGAAGATAAAGGAAAACATGTTGATGACAATGATGACATCAGGAGTAATGCGACAGCCATTCCACAAAACCAGTTCCAAAATTGTTTTGAAGGGTGGACTAGGCGCTGGCATCGGTGCATAGTTTCCCAAGGGAAGTACTTTGAAGGCGACCACAATGATAATTCAGCAATGAGGTATGTAGCACTTTTACTGCGATAAGTTTGCGAACTTTATTGTCAGACCACATACAAGTACATGAACCCTGTGGTATGCCATGTATTAACCAAATGCCACCTACATTATGACCCCCTCCTCACATTCTAATTTATAGGTTGGAAATATGACAAGCATTTAATGTGAATAAATGCCATTACATTTATACTGAAATTTGTAAGAATTGACTATAAGAGTTGGAGTTATACACACACAAGCTTCTCTTTGCTTGTGAAATACTGGAAGTAGTTTATTTTTGTTGTATTTAAACTGGGACTGCAATAATTTGCAGGATGTGTTCCTTTGCTGATGAGGCAGTCTGTTAGGTATCTTACTGGAGGTGGCCCATCATCTGCAAAGTAATGGCCTCAGCAACTCTCTCTTCAAGGGTAAGGTTGGGTATAGAAAATGCACAGCCTAAGCCAGCTAACTCCAGATTCATATCAAGGTAAGACTTCCATGGTGACAAAGAGAGCTGTAAGTGGACATTGAAAGAAAGTCATGTTCAAGAGCTTTAATTCTGTGTAAGAATGATTATGGCCAGAGCTGTTAACTTTAGTGATTCAAACAGATTTGGTTTTTCAAAATGCTAAGTATCTGAAACTAATTTCTGTATGAGGGTACAGGTTCACAATTATGACAGTTACCAGATCAAAGCGTGCTGGCAAATCTCATTGAAATCGGAGGTGGTCACGTCTGCTCCTAGGCTGTTTATTTTTTAAACTAGTTTATTGATAATCTCATTGTTTCTCCTAAGAGTATTTTCTTTTTATGTAATCGGGTTGTACTTGCTGAGCTGGGCTATTCGTTTTTAGCCTCTCTGTTTTTTCTTCGCTTATTCTAGAGCAGAGGGCCCAGGATAGTGCAGTCAGTATAGTAACTATGTACAGTCTGGGCAATCAGGGTTGAATTCTAGACAAGGGCAAAATGTTTTTCTCTTCACAGCATCCAGACTGGCTCTGAAGCTCACCTGGCCTCCTATCCAATGGGTACTGGCTCTTTCCCCAGCAGTAAAGCAGCTGGTATGTGACAACTGACCACTCACCTCCATCTAGTGCCTAGGTCAAGAATGATGGAGCTATATCTCCACTCCCCAGCAGGTCTCCATGGTATATTCCTTAATTTAGCATGGGTACAACTTGACCTCTTATTCCAGAGCAGAATTGAGTCCTTGAAGCCTCAAATTTAGCTGAATTGTGTTTAATGATTCAATTCATACCTCACAGAAAACGTTAAAGACCAGTGGGTTAGTGTTTTTTGGGGATATAATGTCTGCTTATTCTGAGAATTGTAGAAACACATCAGTACACCGTCTGGGGCAAATCCACAGGCACTTTGTGCACGAAATGGCCAGCGCTTGGAGGGGTCACATGAAATGCAGTTCTTCCAAGAAAATTGTACTTCCATTGTCAGATCAGTGGCAGACTTTAAGGACTAACAAGATACTTTATTTTCTGTAATAGCTTGAAACTTGTATGTGTTGCCAGCTCTAGATTAGATTTGAGTTTCTGGGATATGATTCAGTTTAGTTTTGTAGGTTGGAATCAGTGTTTTGGAGGTGGCCTACATCTTCATGTTAACCCCCCTCCCCCTAAGAAAGCAGCATTTGTCAGGGCATCAGTTCACATTGTCACAACCCAGATGAAAATAATAGGCAGTGAGTTCAGATTTATGACTCATATAAAGTTATAGCTATTGATGGAAGGAGACCACTGGGAAGACCAAGGTGGGGATGGGTGAACAATATTAAAATGCATCTTAGAGAGATAGGATGGGATGGTATGGATTGAATTGATCTGGCTAAGAATAGGGGCCAGTGGAGGGCTCTTGTGAACCTTTGGGTTCCATAAAATGCCGGGAATTTCTTGAGTAACTGCAGATCTGGCTTCTCAAGAAGGGCTCAGTGCCATAAGTAAGTAATAAAGTTATAGCTAGAACAAGTATTTTGTTGCATTTAGTTATAAATTTGGGCTTGAACTTTGAAATTTAACCAAATGAAGGGTAGGAGTTAGTAGTAATGATTCTTTGTTCATGGATGCTATGATGGTGCTTAGTTGATGTACCTGTGTTAATGTTCCCAGCTGTCTTCCCTGCTGTTGCAGAACCTGGTGCAAATTAGCACACTTCAAAACGAGGGATACCCAAAAGCAGGTACAGGTGGACCTATTCTTTAATCCACGATGTTTGAGAGTTGGAATAAACAGTTGTCAGTATGAGGCATGGCCGTACACATTTGCAGGATCATTTGTGGGTGTGCAGAGTATAAATAAAACTCAATTTACATTTGCTTGCAATGAAGAAGAATGTTTTCTTGCTTGTTGGTTATTTTTAAAAATAGTTGTTAGGCTGAAAAGCATTTCTGTTTTTGTTCATGGTGTATCTTATCTGCCATCCTGTCTGAAGCTGTTTCCTTTATCTCTCAAACACTGTGGAACAGAGCATAAACATACAAGTTATAAATGTTACAAGTACAGGTCAGTTGCAACTCAAATACCAAACAGAGTAGCACATTTCTATATAATGAGTATACTGGGTGGTACAAAAGTAGCACTACAGTGTAACGCTGCCTCCATCTTCAGAGTTATTCAAGTGGGTGACCGCCAGTATAGTGGACGTGCAGTATCCATCATTCACTGACAACGGTCAGGGCCACAGCACCACTTACACACTTATCCCTTGGCAAGTGTGGAAAGAACTTGTGGCCATGACAACTTATGGTGCCTGAATGCCATGTCATGTATTTGCTGTTGGTAACAGAGCTCTTATATCCTAGAACTGCAGACTTCAAATTGTGGGCGGTAATGTATATATGAATTACTGAAATGTATGTTGTAAGTTGTATTAATAATGCGGATTGAGAACCGTGTGTAGCAGACATTTATAGTTGCTCTTCTTTTATATTTTTGTGTTTATAAAGCAGCGGTTTATTCAAGTCAGCCATAAATGCATATATTTTGCGTGGATTGTGAATATTTGCTGTGGTTAGTCTTTCAGTTATATATATAAAACTGAAATGTGGTAGAAACGATTTTTTGTGACAAATTCACATAATACTTTATGATATTTAATCTAGTGTATTAAGTTTATGACAAGAGTGTTGTGAAATTGAGACATATGCTGGGCATTCTTCAATCTCGTTTTTTGATTAAAGGGAGAAAAGTTTCCAGAAAGTGCCTCTTCTGGCATCTGATTAAAATATGAAGACTGTTCTGTCAGGTCCATCAAATGTAACCAGTCTACATCCGATGGCTGGCGAAGCAAACCCATCTTATAAAGATTGCACTCCTTTAACAAAAAAAGAAAAAAATAATGGAAAATGTCACATGTTAAAGTAATTTTGTCATTCAAAGTCAAATGTCTTTAAGTGTCAGCTCTTTGCCCTTAGACGTCCCAGTTTCTGCATACTGACTTTCTCATGCAAGTACTTTTTTTATTTTGTGTATTTGCTTTAGTTGCGGGTTAAAGTCCCGATGAGGTCATTGGATTTTTTCAATTGACCTAATCCTTCCAGCCGCACTGTGACCCTGTGGTCGACTCAGCCTCTAACAGAAATGAGTACCAGGAATTAAGTAAATAATTTTCCTCAGGCATAAAGCGCAGCCGGCGCGTAAGACTGACAACATTACTGCCATCTTTGAGCCGATTGTCTAGATAATGTGGGACCCTCAATGTCTCACAACCCTATGGGCCTTCACAGCCTCTTACAGGGATAGCTTTGCTTTTTACTTTTTATTTGCTTTAGTCTTCAGTTGAAATTGAAGTAGGAGAACAAATGCAACTGAAAGTGGATAGAATGCTTTCATGTGTTAGGGTGTGCACCCCTTGCTTGACATGTCACACACTGGTACGTCCTCAGTAAGAACCCCATTCATTGGATGCTTAACATACTGTCACATATAAGAATGACTACAGATGGGGTTTGGATTGGTAGTCGGATTTATCAAACTCTTACAGATCCGTGACTGCAAATCACTATAGTGCTATCACTAATTCACATGCTCAGCAGTTTACTGCAGCATGTACTAAGTGTTCACCAATCTTCTGGTAACAGCTTCTATTAGCAGATGTTCCCCTTCCTCTGGGTTCCTGATCTGCCCGTGCCTCAGTTACCAGCTTCTCACAGCAGCAGCTCACTTAACTACAGCAGTCCTCTGACTGACTGACTGACTGACTGCTCAGTGATCAACTCACTTCACTCCACTGCACTAACTGAACTTGGTCAGGCGAGCGATATAGCCTCAGAGCAGACCACATAATGAAATGCCAGTACTTTGTCTGTTGAGCATGGGCCACTGCCTAGCAACAGCTCCGGTACTGTTGCATATTTATGAAGTTGTCATATAGAAATGGTCGTCATTGCCTAGCAATGGGTCTGTGTGCCACACTGCTTCCTTCTTCCTACAGCCCTACTGTTGTTTCTTCTATTCTGAGGGCTATGCTTGTGATGTCTGTGATCAGTCTCATCTTCCTTCCCTGTGGCTTGGTTCTTGCAGTGATTACTCTCCAACTGCTCCCACTACTCTTAAGGCCACTCATCCTGAGAAGCTCACTGATAAGGTGCAAGCTGGTCCAGGTGTACCACCATCATCCTTAGTCTCGGGTTGTGCTTTTGGCATCTCTTCTTTCATTTCAAATAGGGCCAACTCCTCCATGAAGCACAGTTACTCACTCCTAGACCTCCAGTCCAAAAGTCTGGTCTTGTTGAATGCTCTCTTATTTCCTAGACGTAGCTACCCTTTTAGGCTTGGTCCCTTATGCCGTTGTTACATTCTGGTTGCACCCAAACGTTCTTCCTTTAGGGCCTTCTCGTACAATATTGTCCCTGCCTGATCCCTCACACATTGCAGGAATGGCACAGCAGATCAACCATCCTCAGGCAGCGGCCAACTTCTTCCAGGACCCATCATTGCCCTGGCCTTACAGCGAGATGCCAGTCCCCATATTGGTCCTCCACTAGTCCTATAGTTTCCACTGCAGCTTCTTCCATAGGGACATTCTGATGCTTCACAACGGCCTACAACTGTTCTTAATTGGTCTCCAGATCCATGGTATCCATTTCCTTCAGCCTTTGAAGACATCCACCATGACCTCCATTTTCTCTAGCTGGGAGTCCATCCATGCCATCTTTTGTGATGGGCATCTAACTTGGCTGTCATTTCTTCTTTCAGGCGTTCTTGGCCAACTTTCATTTCCTTTAGTTTGGTGTCCATTTTTTCTTGTCTGGCTCTCATTTTCTCTTGGTTCTAATTTCAGCCAACAGGCATGCCACATGTTCCATCTCCATAGTGTGGCAGTATAACTTCTTACTGTGGTCTCCAGTCCAGCCACTTCTGACACCAGCTGTCAGGTGTATGAATGACAGTAGATGGGGTTTCCATTGGTAATTGGATTTATTGAACACTTCTAGATCATGACTACAAGTAACTATAGTGCTATCGCTAATTCATGCACTCAGCAGTTTGTTACAGCATGTACTAAGTCTTCTTAGTCTACTGTGTCTGTACCAATCTTCTGACAACAGCTTCCAATGGCGGATGTACCCCTTCCTCTGGATTCCCGAACTATCTCCATGCCTCAGCTACCACCTTTTATGGCAGCAGCTCACAACTGAGCCTCAGGAGTTCTCTGCTCTCCAGCTATCTCACTTCACTGCACTGTACTCAGCTGCATTGCATTGCACTGCACTAACTGAACTTGGTCCTTCAAGTGACACAGCCTCAGAGTGGACCACATAGAAAACACAACTTCCATTGTTGTGCACGGGCTGCTTGGAACAGCTCCAGTACAGTTGTGTATTTTTGAAGCTGTTGCATAGCATTGGCCATTGCCTTGTTTGTTTCGTGGCTGTTACCCAGCAACAGGTCTATATGCCACAATACATTTCATTCCCTGAGGCAGGGAGCAACCTACATTTTGGAGCTGCAGCTGAATACTGTAAAAACTGCATGTAGGTAGTTCAGTGGTACTTCACAGAATGGGATCTCTCATAGCAAGAACCTTCGCATAGTAGAACACGGCAGAATTTGCAAGTATAACTCATCTCAACTGTGCCTTTATGTGCAGCACAAACCCTACACTAGTGTGCTAATGCATCTTTCCTTGATAGTCTGCCTGGAAGGTCCTCTTTGGGTCCCATGGTGTTGGTTGGGTGGGGGCGGTCAGCATATGAGAGACAGGACATGTAGGGTTATAAACATTTCTTGAGAGATGGCGATTTTATCCATTGTCTGAAGACAATTGTAATGTCCACTGTCAGAAGCCTTTCACCAGCAACAGGTTTACTGCCACTTTGTCATCACATGTTGACAGTAATGTTCTTTGATATCACTTCTAGTACTCTGCACACAGAAACAGCATGACAGTTTTATATTTCTTTAACCAGCTTGTGTCCTTATTGTTTTCATATTTGGCCCATGTAGCTGGTGAGTGTAAGGTGTAACCACTGAATTATAATATTGTAGCATCCTGTTGCACTTTTCATTTAGTGTCTATTAGTTTTTTGGTCTCACATGCATCACTATGTTCTATCAAATTAAGTTATTCACTTAAAAGTCCATCACTGCATGTTAACGACCAGTGTGGTCATCATGAGGTGTTAACATTTTTTGGGCAAGGAAACTGCTGTCTCCTGTTGTTGCTTATGTTCTCTCAATGCACATATGTGTTCAAGTTGGTGGGCTGTGTTCTGTCGTGTGTGTTTTACTGCTTTAATAAATTCTGTAGAACATAGTGTTGCATATGAGACTGCAAAGAAAGTATTCAACACCACAGAGTTAACTTGACTGACATAAAATATGTGAATTTCAAACATTTGAAACACTGGTTCAGTTCCCGATGAGGTCATTTGACTTTTCAGTTAACCTAATCCTTCCAGCCATACTATGGCCCTGGGGTTGACTCAGCCTTTAACAGAAATGAGTACCAGGAATCTTCCCTGGGGGTAAAGGGTGGATGGTGCATAAGGTTGACAAACTTACTGCCATCTGTAAGCTGACTGTCTCTATGTCTCAATCCTGTGGGCCTCCTCAGCCTGTTACAGAATAGCTCTACCCTTTATTATGTAAAATCATCAAGAAATTCTATAGCACAAATGGGAGAAAATACGTGATTGATGTAGCATATATAGAGATCCTCTGACTGTAAAGATGGAG